CGGGCTGCAGGCGCCCGGGCGACCTCGCCCCCAGATTCAAGTGCGGGCAAGAAAGGCTGACGAGATAAGGCCACCAGGGCTCACCCTGAGGCGCTATCTGGCCCGGGCAGCCGCACCCGGCCGCGCGGCCAGAGACGCAGCAGGCCTGAGAAAGAGCTACTTCTCAATGGGACCCCAAGGCCCGCTGTCCCGTGGTGCTGGCACCGCGGCGGAGCAGAGAGCCTGCGCCGCAACGCGCCCCGACTTCCGCACCACAAGAGAGGCGCTCCGAGTCGCCGAGTCTCCACAGCTCCCGGCGAGCGCACGCCGCGCGCACACGGGGCGCACGCCCCCGCACACTCACACGCGCTGCACACTCACGGTGTCTCGGGCCCCACCCCTGTGCCAAGGAACCACGGGCTCCCGGCACCCGGCGAGGGCCCCACCCAGTTCACCAGACCCCAGCACCCTGCTCCAGTGCCCAAGGGTCACCAGTCCGCGGAGGCCGGGGGAGGGGGGTCACTGAGGCCACCCATCCCGTAGGCCGGCCGGGCCGGGTTCCACAGCACCGCACGAGCACCGCGCGCCCGGCCCCGACACGAGGCAGGGAGGAAGGGGCGGCGCTGCGACTAGGGCTGGCACTCGAGATCGGTTACTGGGGCACCCCCCGCCCCCCATCACCACCACCTTTTCTGCAGCACAAAAGGTTGCAGACGGAACCACCGTCCCCATGCAACCTACCAGGGGTTTACAGCTTCGCCGCCTCCGCCGTGCCAGGAGCCGCGGAGTCGGAGACAGGGGCCGGAGAGGTGCAGGGCTGCGGCGCCGAGATCCGGGTAGAGGCCGCCAGGGTAGCCAGCCGGGTACCCTCTCCTCTCCCACCGCGCTCAGCGCCAGCTACCGCCCGGCGTAGTCCCCGCCTCCTCCTCCGCCCGCCTTCCCGCCCTCCTCCGCCTGGCTGCAGAGGCGCAGCCCGTCAGCGATAAGCCCGCCTCCTGCGCCCAGCTCAAACACCCGGAGGAAGGCCGGACTGGCAAGAGAAAGGCGCTAAGAGGCCTGATGAGGGTGGCGGGCGGGGCGGATTGCTGACTGAGAAGGGGAGTGAAGAGTCATAACACCCCCTCCCCACTCCAAACCCGGCACTCCAACTCAAGAACCTGAAGGGCACCAACTCGCTGGCCTGGCAACAGTCAGGTTTCCCCACTTAAGTGATGTGGTGATGTTTGTCATTTGTGAGTCTCTGCTTAAAGGATGCAGCACTGAGCAGAAATAGAGAAGACTAGAAGCCCAGGAAATTGCAAATTATAAGATCAGTCTTAGAAACCTGCTAAATGTCTAGTGAAATGGAGGGGAGGGTAAAATTTGAATTGATTTTATTAGATTGGCTATTTTTTAATCTTCAGACTTGATCTTTTCCGTTCTTGTAAGATATTCTTTTCTTTGATCAAGATTTTTTTATTCTCAGTTCCTGTACTTCTGCCAAATCGGTTAAACTCAGTGATATTTACTGATATTTATTTAGCTCTCTCTATGCGCCAGGCCTTTTTACGTGTATTTCCATATTTACACCTCTCAATAATTATACAAAGGAATGACCAATTATCCATATTTTTTTTAGGCGAGGCATCCCTTGGTTGACCTCACAGACTGCAAGGACCTTGTCAGTTTACAATCCCTTATTTTTTTATTTTTATCTTTTTTTACTCCCCCTTCCTCCCCCCACAGCACCTGATCTTCCTAGGTGGTCTCCCAGCCAAGTACTAACCAGGCCGGAACCTGCTCAGCCCCCGAGATCAAATAGGATCCAGCTTGTTCAGAGTGGCACCAGCGGTAGACCCAATTATCCGTATTTTAAAGGTATAGAAAGTTTAAGTAACTTCCTCGAATTCACATACCTAGTTAAGGGCTGAACTGGGTTTGTATCCAAGCAGTGCAACCCCAGAATTTTTATGAACTTTGCTAGTTTATATTCCAGTCTCAATCCAAAAGAGTTTGTTGTTTGTTCTTTTTTTAAAAAAATGCTTTATCTGAACATAAAAGGCACAAACTTGGTATGTAAATTAAATTTAGACAAATCTTGATTCAAACTTGTTCCAAAATCTGTATATGACCCTGGTAGCATAAAGGCAAATAAGTAAATCCGAACACCATTACTTGGACAGCCTGATTCCTAGAGGTTCCTCAGCTAGAAGACATTTTTTAATACTATTCTGTATGCTCTAAAGTAAGTAAGGAAAGATAGAGGAGGAAATTTTGACTAATATTCTCTAAAGAAAGCTTTAGAAAACATAAATTATTTTATTTCCAACATAGGTATGTATGTAAGTTCTCGAATATAGAACCAGACACAATGTAATAGGTGTTGAATAAATGAATGAACTTAATTTGTATCAATAATTTAAAAGAACACATTGAAAGTTGTTTTAGACTATACTGTGTGACACAGTACTGTATTGTTCTGATGATCATTCTTATAAAACCACCGCTAAAACATTAAATGTTTTATATTAAGAAATTTACTTTCTGTCCTGTCTGAAATTTTATAAGCTTTTCAGAAGAATGCCTTGTAGTTGCCCTTTGCTCTGAAAGTTTGCCAGAAGCAATAAAGTTTTTCTTTGCCTTTAAGTTTATTAGTCTCAAGGCTAGCCCTCTTGAAATGGCATTGCCTCCAAATCACCTCGCTCCTTGGATGGTGCTAGATGCTCCCATCCCAGCCCTGACTCCTCACCTAATCAACATCTCAGTCAGTTCTTGAGTGTCACAAAGAACACCTAGTAAACCAATTCACCAGGCAGTCAATGGCTGATAATGGCTATATGTGTGGCCCTTCAGTGACATGTCTATGCCACCTAAAGACTGTGAATGGATACTGTCTTAATTCAGATCACTTGCGGTTCCCACAGCCGCAGTGGAGTGGGAGCAATGCAGAAGCCTTTCCCAGAGCTTTTCTATGTCTGTGAAGATATATTCAATCTTTTTTTTTAATGGTATGCTTATAAAGAATTAGGCACAAACAAAGAATTGACCTTGTGATATGAAAGACCTTCTGAGCCTGACACTCCATTTCAGATGCCCCTTATGTAAGTTGCATCTTTGCCTCAAGGCATTCTTCCCAGAAAATCACTTTAAAATGATGGTTTTCTGGGAAGGATTATACCTTTTTTTAAAATTCCCATCTCCCTACCTCCTATCCTCTGGCAACCATCAGCTCGTTCTCTATATCTAGGGGTCTGTTTCTGTTTTGTTTTGTTTATTCTGTTTTTTTTTTTTTAGATTCCACAGGTGAGATCACATGATATTTATCTTTATCTGATTTATTTAACTTAACACAATATCCTTTAGGTTCATCTATGTTGTTGCAAATGACAATATTTTGTTCTTTTTTTTTATTTATTTAGTCCACAGATTTTATTTTATTTTATTATTTTTTATTTTTTAAAATTTTTAATTAATTAATTTTTATGGTGACATTGGTTAACGAAATCCAGTAGATTGAATTCTTTTTTATTACTGAATGATATTCAATTATATGTGATAGATGATAGATAGATAGATAGATAGATAGATAGATATCTCACATCTTTATCCATTCATCTATTGATGGACATCTAGGTTGCTTCCATATCTTGGCTATTACTAGTAATTCTTTAATGAACATGGGGATGTATATATCTTTTTGAATGAGTGTTTTTTTGTCTTTGGGTAAATACCCAGAATTGGAATTGCTGGAAGGTATGGCAGCTCTATTTTTAGTTTTTGAGGAATCTCCACATTGTTTTCCATAGTGGCTTTACTAATTTACAATCCTATTAACAGCCTACAAGGGTTCTCTTTTCTCTACATTTTCACCAACACTTGTTGTTTGTTGATTTACTGATGATAGCCATTCTAACAGGTGTGAGGTGATACCTTATTGTGGCTTTAATTTGCACTTCCCTGATGATTAGTGATGTTGAACATCTTTTCATCTCTGTGTCCTCTTGGGAGAAACGTCTATTCAATTCCTCTGCCCATTGATGTAAATAGTGTCACCCAGCAAATAGCCAGCTAGAAAGAATACGATAGGTAGCTATGATAACAGCAAGTGAATATAAAATAGGAGCTATAAAACCAGGTGTGCAAGAAATGCCACATCTCCACCTTTTCTCTTAATCCACTTGTTTCAGGCAGGGGATAACCAGGAAATTAGAGATCACTTCAAATATTTACAACAAAAGACAACTGAATGCAAAGAATTGCTAACACAGGCGATGGAAGAACTCAGAAGCTAAACAGAGATTTGTGAGGTAATCCAGAAATTAGTAAGCACAGCCCATAGCTGGAAAAATAAAGGGAGGAGGCAGGGTTACTGGAACCCAGGAGCCAGGCAGTATGGCCAGCCTGGTGAGAGCTGCCACACAGAGGAGAGACAGCCACTGCTAAGGAAGCTGATTATGACAGGGGAACGGGAAAAATATACCATAGATTCTCCTTTCCTTCTGCCCTCCAGTCTCCTGCCAGTGCTTTCCACTTAGCCAAGCCTAGATATCAGCTGATGTGAAAGTCAGAGAAACAGCCTGCTAGGGTCAGCCCCTCTGCAACATAGAGGCAAATAAAGGAAGGACATGGAATGTGAATCTGAGGGCAAACAGGTCTGAGATCGGCATATTATTTATTTCACTTACAAGGCGTCAATCTTTCATAAGGTTTTTCCCCACTCCCTTGGGTAGGATCATAGTTCCAAGATCATATGCCAGGCCAAGCCATGGGTAGGTGGTGATGACAAGAAGTGGGAGGAGGTCCTTTGGTTTATGCTCATCTGCCCACGGAAGTTTCCATTGTCCCTTCTCAGAGCTACCATCTCTGGCTACATACTGCAGTGTACAACAAGTCCATAAATGGGATGATTCTGCCCTACATACTTG